CAGTGACTATTTTCCAAATAAATGAAACAACCTGAATTTTAGTGTACTAGCAGACAAAATTCAATGCTTAATATAGTTCTAAATAAAGGAACAGTTCTCAACTATTTACTGGTTAACCAGGACAAAATTTATAGAGTAACTAATACATCTTGTATACCTGAGTAAAGACTTGTATAAAGATGAAATAAAAAAAATAATTAATTACGAAAAGAAAACCACTTTACTTGACTAAAGTTGACCAAGCTGATTATTTAGTCTTATTCTTCTAGTTGGATGAGAATATATAGAAAATTGGATAGGACCAAATTTTTCTCACAATGCAATATTAATATTCTCTTCTGTTTATCTCTCTTCCCCTGCCTAATACGTAAGCAATTAAATATTACTGTATAGGTGTAAAAATAAGCCAAGATTAAAACCGCCATGATTAAATTTGGTTCTTTAGGAACAGATTGCGATCAAATCCGGGGAAAACCTGAGACAGTTCAATGAGGGAAAGTGGTGCAAATCAGTCCTTACTAAAAGAAAGGACTAATGGAAAGACAACTGGCAGACCTCAAACTGACAAACAATATCAGAAAAAAGTCCTCTCTCTCCCACAGGTAAACTCTTAATATGAATAAATACATGAAGATTTTTCTATAGTTAACCCTAGACAACTTTTTAAGGGCAGGTTTCCCAGACTAGTCTGTTTTATAAACATCAGCAAGTGGATTTTCCTTTAAATTTATTCTCACACTTTTTTTTTTTCAATGTCTTTCTTCGTCTAATTTTTTTTTTTTTTTTTTACTTTTCTTGCTGGCAAAAGTTCTCTCTCATAGGTGAATAAGAATAGTGTGCAGATATTAAATGTCTCTAAATTATTATTTCACATTATAAAGAGTGCTACAGATGCTTGTTGATGTGTAGATTCTTTAGAAAATATTTTCAAATGGGGATGGAAATTTTTAAAAACCTTGAAGTACCTCAGGTTGCCCATAATATTGTTCAATGTTGGGCAAATGGTCTAGGACCAGGGCTACAGTGTGAGCCAAAGTACTGAAGCTGTGGGGAGTTTAGTGTAGGGCATGTATAGGACAGAAGAGAGGAAGCTAGTTAGGTTTACTCATATGAAAGAAAGTTCAGTAGATATGGTGGGACCAGAGAGGGAAGAACTGCAAAGACAGTTGCCATGGTCTACAGAACTGGCAGTGTCTTGTTGCTAAGCAGCTGAGTCTAGAACTCAATCAAATGAGGGACAAAGGGGAAAGGATTTCTATTTCCTTTGCCATGTGAGGTCTTGACAAAAATCTTTATTTAATGAGATATATTGTACAAATTATGTCTAGGCTGACAGCTGAAATGGCTATGGAAACTATTAATTCCTCTGTTGGTAAGTCATTCAAGAATTTAATTGTAAAAGAGGAGAAGCAACTAGGATATTAGGATTTTACTCGAAATTTGGAGATATTTGTCTTCAGAGGTTTCATGTAATGAATTTGCTTTCCTCTTGTTGATTTTTGGAACTTTGGAAAATGTTCCTTCTCTTTAGTGCTAGAAAGGACATAATTAACCCAAGACTTTCATGACTAATATAATGATGAGGATAATGTTTAGCCTGAAACAAGTCACCCCCATATATCTGCAACCAGATATAAAAGACTAAGACAAATATCAAATTCTGTAATAAACAAGGATAAAATGAATTCTTGGCTTTACGTTTTAAATGACCATGACTGAAAATCAACAAAAACAAATTAAGAAAGCTAAAAGCAATATAGATTTTCAGTCTAGGATCCTATGTACAGATGAGGAAATTTAGAAATTCAGAAAGGTAAGAAACAATTGTGGGCAACAAAGGATGAAGAATTAAAAGCGTATGAATGTTTGAAATATCTGTTCTTGACTTCACACTTTAGGGTGTGGTGTCTGGTATATCTCATCCCAATTCTTAATGTTTCCCCCTTTTAAGCGTCTCCTAAACATGGTTTGTGATTCGTTTTCCCAGCAGTGCTGGCAGTTTGTTGTAGGAGAGAAAGCAAGTGTAAGGATCAATCCAGTTTGGACTGAGGATTTTGGCCAAGAGTAATTGAACTGATAGAGTCTAGAGTGTGGCTACTGAAGGATGAAAGAAAAACCGATGAATTAATGAAAAGGGGGATAAAGTGAAAGTTCTTTGAGTCCCCCATTAAGAGTGAGGAGTAAGTTTTGATTAAGAATAAAATAGCCATAAACTATTTAAGATGTAAGAAGTTGAATAGTCAAGGACGATAACGGTTAGGGTCATAAGCTGATGGCTGAAGATTAGTGAAGGGGCATTGCAAGGTAAAATGAAGTGGGAATCGTATGGGTTGTCCACAAGCTTGGTCAACACAATTCAGAATGTGGTTAAAAGTATTTGTGGAGAACAACTATGTAAATCAAACACCAATTTCTTTGAGATGTGTGCAGGAATGATTTGAGAGGTTGGTATAAGAGTAAGAAAGAAAGGTAAGTAAGTAGGTTGAAGTAGCTTTAGTAATCCATGCAGAGTGGGACCTAGCCGATCCACATGGCATAAAGAAGTCCTGATAATGGGAAGTTTCCATTCTGCAGGCTTCACATTGCTAAGAATTATGTTTAAATAAAATTAATTACAAAGTGTGTTGCATGAAGAAATGCAAAGAGAAAGTGATTGCTATTGCTTTTTATGAAAGGAAGACTCCAGAACTCACAGAAAAGTGATTCCAGGGGGGAAGAGATCAAGGAACTCAGATCAAGATAAAAGAAGAATTAAGCAGAAATGGGTTAAGGTCAGAAGACAGGTGCTGAATCAGTTATGTTTCATTTTTATATTACCTCCTATGGGAAGTGTTCTTTGATCAATTCAGTGTATTTGGTTCCACCCAGATGACTTCACTTTCCTCTGTTTTTTCAACTAGACCTGCTGTTCTTAATCTGAGTACTTTGATAGTCTCTTTGCTCTAATGATCTGATGAAGACCTTGAATTCTCTCCCTACATAAATAAAAATAGGCACATTATATGTAAAATATTACATTCAATTTTACAGACCCATAAAGTCTTTGTCCTACCCCCTCTGCCCAAATACGCAGAAGACCATTAACTTCTTTAGGCCTGTATCAGTCATCTGTTTCCCAGTGTCTAGCACAGTATCCTGCACATCGTGTGGTTCTATTAATTCTGTACTGAAGGAAGAAAGCAAAAATGAGTATTAAGTGCCAGGCACTGAGCTAATAGCAGATTTCTCATCTTCACAAATGTAAGAAAAATATATCTGATGATTCCTTAAAATTGTTGGGGACTTTAATGCCTTTTTCTCAATAAGACAACCCCACTTTCCTCAAGGAGCTTAGGCAGCTCCAATGGTTTACCATCAACTGCTAACCAAAACGTTGGCTGTTCAAATACCCCTAGGGGCTTGGCAGAAGAATGGCTAGCTCTCTGCTTCCATAAGATTGCAACTAAGAAAATCCTGTGGAGCAGTTATACTCTGTAACACACACAGTCTCCTTTGAGTCAGGGGATGACTGGATAGCAACTCAAAACAACCACCTTCCCTAAAGCTTTTTCTGTCCTCTTAAGATCTGTGATTTCATTTTCACTTCTGAAAGCACTTCCTTTTGTCCTGGGTCCTCCTGTCTCTGACTATTACTACCCTAACTAGTTTGTTTTCCTTTCCATTTATATGGCCAGAGGTTTTGAAAAATGCTTCTTTTCTTAGCTATAAAGTGTAAACACTTTTGGAGTAACATCCATGTACCACACCAAAGTATTCCCCTCTCAATTCTTCCATTGTTTATTGTTTATTGCACTAAGCCAGATTTCACAGAAGATACTAATATTTGGGAAAAGCATAATCAATCCTCTTGATACTTGAAGTTTGACAGGACAAGATAAAGAGAGAGCACAGGGAGGAGAAATGACTAGGAAATACATTATATAGTACACCTAAGCACCATGAGAAATGAGTAGTATATGAGAGTGTTTTTGATATGTCTCCTGAGTAATGTGACCAAATGATTTGTTATTTGAAATTGAAGGGAAGAACTATTAATATTTTTGACAAGTCAATATGTATACCGTATTTTTATGCAAATAATGTGCACCTTCTACATTTGTTTGCCAATCACTACTTTCTTCCCCCCTCCCCTGTGAGGTATTTTCATAAGTTCTGCTATGCTAATTTTTTTACACTTTGCTGTAAACAAAAATTAGCATAGCAGACTTACAAAAATACCTCACAGGAGAAGAGAGCAGTTGGCAAACAAATGTAGAAGGTGGGTGTTATTTGCATAAAAGTATAGTAAATCAAGATTGCCTCAGGAAATGAAGAAGTATGTTTACTTTTACCTTGCGATCATTTGGTTTTAAATATTTTTTTTTTGCAAGATGTTCACACATATTCATATATTTAGAGGATAGTATTATGAATCCAAGGAGCCCTGGTGGCACAGTGGTTGGCAGTTCAAACCCACTAGCTTCTATGCGTGAGAAAAATGTGTCAGTGTACACATGAGAAAGATGTGTCAGTTGGAAGCCCTGTGGAGCAGTTCTACTCTGTCATATAGTGTTGCTATAAGTTAGAATCGACTCTACACCAATGAATATTATGAGTCCATATACACTCATTATCTGTGTTCAGTAATTAAATGATCATCTGACAACCAATTGCATTCTTTGTTCAACACCAGTCTTGCTCTGCTTTACCAATATTGATGAACAAATACAAGACAATGTATTAACTCACATCTTGAGCCAAACACTAATCCCTTTTATGCTAGAACTTTCTCTTTCTCTCTCACACTGCCCTTCTCATAAACAGCTCTGTATCTACCTTTCTTATGTTTACTTTTAGTGATACTGCTGTGATGGTTCAACTCTGCCAGGAGAAATATCTTTAAAGGTCACCAGCTCAGAGGGACAAGCCCGATCAGCATAGCCTCTTGCCCTGCCTTCTTCTACTCTCATCAACGGCTCCATAATAGTGGCTCCATAATGGCTGGTGGTGGGGCCCTGGTGCATATGAGGATCAATCTCCGGCTGCTATGGCCTGGGGTGTTTTTGGTCCTTTCTGGATTGTCTCAAGTTGGGCATTCCCAGTATCACAGCCCCCCAGAAGTGGTGATTCCCTTGAGGTTAACTGGAACTGACAGAAGTATGAAGGCTCCAGGTTGGATCTCCTACAACCTGAACTTTGGGGGCCAGAGACACATCGTGCACATAAAGGCCAAGAAGCTGTTAGTGTCCAGGCAATTGTCTGTGTTCACCTACACAGACCAGGGTGCTCTCCTTGAAGACCATCCTTTTGTCCAGACTAACTGCTATTATGATGGCTATGTGGAGGGGGACTCGGGATCTCTGGTTTCCTTCAGTAGTTGTTTTGGGGGCTTTCAAGGACTACTACAAACAAAAGACATTACTTATGAAATCAAGCCCAAAAGATTCTCTCACGCATTAGAACACCTGGTATATAAAGTGGACAGTGAGGAGGCACAATCTCAACCCCTGCAATGTGGCTTAACAGAAGAGGAAATTGCAAGACAGTTAAAGCTTCAAGAGAGTGAAAATTCCACTCTGACGCAAAGCACCAACCATGTCTGGTGGACCCGCAAGTGGTTTATTGAGCTGGCAGTGGTGGCAGACTATAATCTATTCCTTCATTGCAACCGTAATATCTCAAAAGTGCAGGAGACTGTTTTCGATATTATCCATAAAGTTGATTCAATTTATAGCCCATTGAATGTTGAAATCACTTTATTAGCACTTGAAATTTGGAATGTAGAAAACCCATTTCCACTTAATAGCTCATCTAAGATGCTAGATGATTTTTGCAATTGGAAGAAAATTAGCTTTAATTCTCGTGTGCACCATGATGTTGCAAATCTTTTCACAAGGAAGAGACTTGGTTTTGCTGTTGGCTATTCTTTTGTTGATGGAACATGTAGACTCTCATATAATTGTGAAGTTTCAAGTTTCACAAGTGATGATTTGAACTTTTTTGCATTTGTTGTGGCACATGAAATTGGTCACTCTTTGGGTTTAGCGACAGATACTACATGGTGTACATGTGGGAGAAAAAGATGTATAATGTCTGCAACAGGAATAAGTACAACTAAATTCAGTAATTGCAGTTATGCTGATTTGGGGAGAGTGATTACAAAAAAGACATGTTTGCTCAATGTACCAAATCCAGGGGACAACTTCATCTGGAAACGCTGTGGGAATGGAGTAGTTGAAGAAGGAGAGCAATGTGATTGTGGATCCTCAGATAATTGTACAAAAGATCCCTGTTGTCAGTCAAACTGCACTCTGAGTCCTGGGGCTGATTGTGCTTTTGGGCTTTGTTGCAAAGACTGCAAGTTCATGCCAGCAGGAAAAGTGTGTAGGCAACAGGCCAATGAATGTGATCTTCCAGAGTGGTGCAATGGAACAACCCATCAGTGCCCAGAAGACGTATATGTGCAGGACGGGATCCCATGCACAGGAGGGGGCTACTGCTATGAAAAGAGATGTAATAACCGTGATGAACAGTGTCGGCAGATTTTTGGGAAAGAGGCAAAGAGTGCAAGGAAGATATGCTATGAAGAAATGAACACCCGCGGTGATCGATTTGGTCACTGTGGTACGAGTGTCTCTACATATGTAAAATGTAATATCTCTGATATCCTGTGTGGGAGAGTTCAGTGTGAGCATGTGAGAGTAATTCCTCTTCTGAGAGAGCATTCTACTGTACAGGTGATGCACCTCGATGGTGTCACCTGCTGGGGCACAGACTATCATTTTGGGATGACCATACCAGATATCGGTGAAGTGAAAGATGGCACAGAGTGTGGACCAAATCGTATCTGCATCCGCAGGAAGTGTGTAAGTATGTCTAGCCTCAAAAGTTATTGTTCACCTAATACGTGCAGAGAGAGGGGAGTCTGCAACAACAAAGGTCATTGCCACTGCAGTTATGACTGGGCTCCACCACACTGCCTGATCAAAGGTCGGGGAGGGAGTCTTGACAGTGGCCCACCCACTGACAGATCAGAGCAAAAAAAGGAGAACATAGCAAGTTTCCTGTCACTATTTGTGCTGCTCCATGTCTTTGTTTTATGGTTCTGTTTGTTAATTGTTCTTTATAAGAAGTACAAACACAAAAAAAAGAAGAACCAACTTCAGTCTGAATCTAAGAAAGAAGAACCACCATTTTCAATTTCAGAAAATAAAGATGAGCCAGCATTTACAAGTCCAGAAAATAAACCCAATTCCTAACTAAACTTCTTGTGTGTTAAGTCAAAGTCTCCTGTCGGTAGAAATGTTAGTGCATGTGTCAGAGACCATGGACAGAAAATCCGAGAGACCTATTCTATTTCAAGATCGGAAGCATTAGCCATTAAACAAAGGTCCTAGCTATTCCTAACTACTCTTCATCATTTTGATCACTCTTAAGTTATTTTTTTATGGAATTAGTCACTTTGTGTTTCCTGAGCAGAGCCACAGCTCACGGATGGTGTTATGTTTTAAGCTGTTATCTGTCAAATCCAAACCTCCTTCCACTTTTGAATACATTATCACACCGGAAATGGGATGTTAAAATCATATTTCTCCTTTGCCAGCCCTTTTCCCTGTTAGTTTGTGTCAACAGAGGGTACAATAGACTGGAAAGCTGGGGGTACTCTTTGATTCCTATTTTTCTCAGTGTTACCTCAGTAACAGTGTTGGTAGCAACATTATCTTTCAGTTGGCAAGTTATTGCTATAACTACATTAGTAACTCCCAGAAGTAACAGTGTTGTCAGCGTCAGAGATGCAAGCGCAGCTGGCCAGTGACTAAATCTCAGTATTCTCAGGCCAGACTCTTGAACCCTCCATATGTCCCTGAGGTTCCGGTACTAGGTTGGCTGCACCCTCACCTCAGAGGTCAGAGTCCTACTTCCAGCTTGTAGGTTTGAATAACCCTAACCTCTTCACTTTGATCTCCAGGCTTAGAAGCGAGAGTTACCTCTTGTTAATAAATCATGCTTATCTTGATATTCTACATTTATTTCCTTTCTTCAACAGCTATATCCCCATATCCTTACATTTCACCCCCTCTCTAAAATCACTGGTGGTGTTCTCTTTCCCTAACTGAACTCTGATTGATACAGTACTTATCCTGATATAGTGGAGAATACCCAAGTCCAGCATCAGAAGGTTTTCTCACTGCTTTACTTTATACCTCCGTAGGGAAATGACTTAAACTTAGAATTTCTTCAAAATCTGAAAAGGAAAGATGATAACATTTGTTATTCTAATACTTGATACCCTTGTTTACAAAAGAATATTAAAAAGATCATTTCAATTCTACGTGGAATGCAATGTCTTGGTAGATCAATGATTCTGATAAAAAAAAAAAAAAAACCCAGAGAATACCAGTTACATTTTTAAAACCACATTTTAAGGGCATCAGAGAGCATGGATAATGAGGACAAATGAACTGAAATTCAGCAGTGGGAAACCATTCTGAATGAAGTCGAACATTACCAGCCATTTTTGTCCTTTAGAGTTCTTGCTAATTCTGGATATGAATTGAGGATAATCTGTGGTCCAGTTTGAGGGTTTCTACTGAAGGAAAGAGAATCCATCAATGTTCTCAGTTTCTATGCAAGACTAGATTGATAAATTAGAACTTTAAGGGCCTTAAATTCACAATCATTTTTCCTCAAGTCATATTTGGTTAACTTGAGAACTTGTGGGATGCTGGTAAGCTAGTCTGGAATTTCTAAGAGTCATAATTTCCTAAAAGCATGTTATACTTTGGAAACAAAGATGGAGTAAAAGGAGCTTTGTCTCCAGCACATGTACTAAATCCAAAAAAAAAAAAAAAAAAACCATTGCCGTCCAATGGATTCCAATTCAAAGCAACCCTGTAGGACAGAGTAGAACTGCCCCTTAGAGTTTCCAAGGAGTGACTGGTAGATTTGAACTGCCGACCTTTCGTACAGAAGCCAAACACTTAACCACTGCACCACCAGGGCCGCACTGGCTCCCCATTAAGACTCTTACCTGATTTTGAATTTCTATGTAGCAGGAGGCTGGAGAGTAGAGTGTGAATGTCTGAGTGATGTGGATTAATCCCCCATAATCTCTCAGAGGTGAGGAAAAAGATTCATATAGACTCTTAATTGAAATTCCAGCAGGCCCGAGCTTGAGCAACATAGGCATAGGATAATTAGTCCAAGTTTTACTAGAGACACATTCACTTTGGACCTAGCTCAATCCATGTTTGTATTGAGGTAATCAGCATCTCAGCATATCTTCATAAAAGAGAAAAGACGAAAAACTCAATAGTGGAGTCACCTGGAGCTTCTATAGTTGTTTAAAACACATGACCAGCAAAAAACCAAAAATGACTAGAAATGCTAAGATTTAAGAAATATGTTCTATTTTTAAGAGAAGAATAAGAAAAAAGAAAGAGGTTGGGAAGGAGAAAATAGAAATTGAGTAGTGTCAGAGATGATCCAAAGAGTGGGCAAAGATTACATTAAAAAATGACTATGACTAATACCTTTTAAAATAAATGAAAAAATGTACAAAATATAAGAAATAAAATAGAATATTATCAGTAATTAAGAATGTGTGCAATAGTATCAAATCGATATTTTAGAACTAAAAAATACAATATATGATATTAAGAAGTCAGTGAGCAGATTGAACCAGTAGATTGGGCAAAGTAGAAAAGAGAATGATTTAACTCCAAGACTGGTCAGTAAGCAAATCCCACATTGAAGAAGACAGGAAAAAAAAACAATAAATTAGAAGACAAGAGATATATGGAATATATCAAAACTCTAACATTCTTAATAGCAGAGTCCCAAAGAGGGGAAAAAAGAGAATTGAGTAGAAGTGATGGGCAAGAATGTATTAAATGAGAGGAAAAATATCAACTTGCTTCTTCACAGTGGGTTACACATATCTCAAGCACCATTAATGTTTTTATTTTTCCTTTCTCTCGGTTCTTCAGATGTGTGTGCTCTGTCAATCTGTATTCAATTTTGCCGATCCTTTCTTCTGACTGCCCAAACCTTCTGCTTATCCCCTCTACTAAAATTTCATTTATGTTATTATAATTTCACTTCCATAATTTCCATTTGAATCTTTTTTTATAATTTCTATCTATCTTTGATATTCATAGTAGCTTTTATTCACTCAATATTTGGACAGAAGTTGTGTATGCTTAATCACCTTGGGATTAATCTCTATGCAGAAGGATCTGTTTGTGACCTGAGAATGCTTCCAGTCAGCTATATTCTGTCATCTGATTGCTACTCTACCCAGTGGGTGCATCCTAGCACAAGTGTACACCCTTCTAGACCTCCTGCGTGAGTGTTTTAGTTTCCAAAGACTCCTGAAAAAGTGTACCACAAACTGAATAACTTACAAGAACAGAAATTTATTATCTCACCATCTGGAGGCTAGAAGTGTAAATCTATGTGTTGTTCAGTCCATACTCTTTCCAATGGCTTAGGAGAATGCCCTTCTTGTCACCTCCTGCTTCTACTATCCCCTGGTGTTTCTTAACATTACTTGGCTTTTAGATGCACTTTTTCATGAACATTTTCCCCCTATGTGTGTCTCTGTGTCTGTTCTCCTTTCTTATAAGACACCATTCAGGTAGGATTAGGACCCTTGCTACATCTCATGGTAACTTAACTGGCAATGTCTTCAAAGATCCTGTTTCCAAACAAGGTCACATTCACAGATAATAAGGTTTAGGACTTCAAAATATCTTTTTCCAGGACACAATTCAATCCATAATAATCAGTAGGATCCTAGGAGGCGTCTTCTTGACTGTATCTTCTTGACTGTCTCTTTCCCTGGTTCTCTCTGTTGAATATGTGGCTTATCCTCCGTTTGGCCTGTTGTTACCAGGTACAGGGAGTTACCATGCCCCTCTAATTACTTCCTACCAAAATTTCCACTGTTTTCAACAATGTCCTTATTCTGAGTGCAAAATAAAATTAGCTTCTTCAGACAGAGAGCCCTTAGGTTTGGTTCTCTCCCTGGGAAGAACATTTTCACCACTACAAACGAGCTGGAAGTCGGGAGAACAGTCTACTACTTTCTGAGTGGCATCTCTACTGTACAGTGGACCTGAGAGAGGAATGGTAAAATGTGGTCATCTTCCTTCCCTCTCCTGTTTGAAACTTCTGTCCTAAAAGGAAATTTCGGCACTCTGTATTCTAGGCCTGTTGTACTTGGGGCAAGCCCTCTCCCCCTATGAAGGGGAAGTAGGTGATTAAGCTGGGTCTTACCTACACACAATAGATTTTCTACAACATAAACCTGGGGAAAGACGATTTGAGTGCCCTGCCCTTGCTTGGGGGAAACCATAGTGTTAGATCTGGAGGTTGGACTTGAGGGAGCACATGTTGTCTTGGTCATATCTGTCCAGAACAGATGTTACTTAACACAGATTCTGGGAGTCTGGGGGTGTTGGAGCAGGTGGTAGCACCAATGCCTCAGATTCTCCTTGCTCTTAGCAAGACTTAGATCTTTTTTAATAAATCTTTCTCCATGTGTTCTGTGCCTTAAGTTCAATTTCCAGAGACATGAAATGGTTGTTTTTCATTTTTGTTTTTCTTGTTTTGTTTGCTTTTAAAAAGGTAAACCAGTTAAATCATATTATTATTTAGAACAGTCATACATTGGTAGTGGGTGAATAAATTAATAAAAACATATTGAAAAACTGCTTGGAAGTAGCTAATAAGCCCAAGCATATGCAAACACTCTGAGTAATTCCACTCTGTTATCAGTCCAATAAAACTGTCTCCATATTTTTACTGAATGGCATTTAATGTAATGTCCATAGAAAAACCAATTACAATAGTCAATAACTGGAAACTACGACGTGTCCTTCAATAGTACACTGAATAAGTAGCAAGTGGTATAATCACATGCTGCAATACTACGCAAGGGTGAAAGAGAAGGGTCTACATTTACATGTAATGATACGGATAAATTTTACAAACAAAATATTGAGTGAATTAAACCACCCACAAAGAGTACATATTATATGATTCCATTTATATGAAGCAAAAACAGGGGAAACTAATCTATTCTGTTCAAAATCAAAATAAGGCTAGAAAAAAAGGAGAGAGCATAAAGTATTTACAGTTTCATACAAACTTAAAAAAATTATATAGAACACTGAAAGGCTTCGATAGTGTAAAAATATAAGTTTCACCAACAACACCTTCCGAAACCTTTTCTAGGTGCTTCCAGGCTAAACTT